GATAAGCACCTGCCACACAACACCCCAAACTTAACAATTGTTGATAAGAAAGACAAAGAAGTCTGGGTAGTGGACACTGCAATACCTGGAGACAGCAGAACAGAAGAGAAAGAACTGGAGAAAATCACAAAATACAAAGACCTGCAAATAGAAATGGAATGACTGTGGTGAAAGAAAGCAAAGATAGTTCCAGTAATAATAGGTGCTTTGGGTGCAATCCCAAAACATCTGGAGCACAACGTGAAAACCATCGGCATTGACAAAATCACTATCTGTCAGTTGCAAAAGGCAGCTTTACTTGGAACAGCTTACATCCTGCGACAATACCTTTATCACCATCAGACAACATCTGCCTATCCCAGGTGCTTGGGAAGGACTCAATAGGTGGATAAAAATGCCAAATCCAGTCTAAACATCTGGTTGTGTGACCAACAATAACAACAGAAACTTGTATGCTTAGCTTCCCCTCCCTATATAACCATAAGAGGTCATGGGTCTGTAAGCAAACCTCTATTGTGGTTGTCATAGTATGGAGCATCTTGTCCCCAAGATGCCCCCAGAATTCCCTCCGCCTGCCTTAATCAGCTTGTGGAAGGCTGTTTTGTTTGAATAGGCATTTGGGAGTTGAATTTGGATTTGATAGTGTAGATGCTCATCTATGTTTTATTTAGTTGTTTATCTTGTTTTGCTATTTTTATTTTTCTATTCAATGTAAACTGTCAGGAATCAGTTTTGAGCTAGTTAGTATGAAAATACTAAAAAGCTGATTTAAGCTATAATTACAACAACCAAGGAAATTATATATAACATTAGTTTTAGATTTCTCCAAGAAAATGAATAGCAACATTCAAGAAATCATTAAAGTCTTGTCTCACTGATTGTGAAATGATTTTGTTGCTATCTTAATTTTAGACATTGGGGGTATATTTAACTTCCCCAATCTGGAAATTAGGATAGAATATCATAGTTACCAGCTTCTCAACAATAAAGATAACTCATACGTTCTGAAAACTATTTTAGTAACTTCAAATACTAACTCAAATTCCATCTCCCCAAATGCAAAAATATAATCTTAATACATATTTATTTAGGAATAAGCTGTTAACTGAAATATTTTTTAAAAAGGTAAACTTTCAACTCCTAGTAACTTCACGGACAAATTTATATACTATTCTTGCATATAGGTGATTTACCTATCATTTAGAGGTGATTTATCACTGCACCCTTTTTGGAATTCTCAGTCTAGCCTACAAACATAGAGTAGGCTGGGGGTCTCCCATCTAAGTACCAATCAGGCCCTATGCTGTTTAGCTTGTTGAGATCAACCAAGATCAGTTAGTTGCTGCCACTTGGCTTTCCTGTAGAAAGATAAGCCTAAACAGTCAAAGATCTATCTACATAAAGAATGTTATATCAGACATTCATTAAATAGGTATAGTACAATTATCCCTAATATAAAACCTTCTAGAAATGTTTCAACCATACGTCCTAGCAGATTTGTGGCTGAGAAATTCTGAGAATTTTAATTTCCCAACTTGGGAAAATCTTTAATGGCTGGAATCTTATAGAGCATTTAATTAATATGTCCAAATCACTGCAGTTTTGTACGGCTTTCCAAACACACACAAGCAACTAAACAGGCAATTCATATACCATCAGCAGAATCAAAAAAGTATCTTACATAAAATAACAGAAGCAAGCACCACTATCACTTGAACTATCTCAGATTTCAAATGCAAGAGGCCTTTTCACAGGATCCTGTAACAAGTCGAACTATTGATATATCTATCTTAGGACACTTACTGAGCAGCACCTCTCTGGCATTTTAGACAGGAGGGTTACCCAGTCTCAAATGGAAGTGCCAGAGATAAAACCTTGGATCTTCTGCATGCAAATAATGTACTTTCTAGCAAACAACTAGGTCTCTTATCTCTAAAGGATGCAACGCAACTCTAAAAGTTATAGAGCAAATCTACTGCGGCAAATCATAGACACATAAAAGTTAAATTAAAAATTATCCCTCTTATTCTAACCAAAAATCTGAAAACAAATGCCACTAATATTGTAACATTACAGTATTTCTGGAAGGGTTTCAGTAAAGGAAGAGTACATAATTTTTTTTTAAGCAAAAGGTTCGTATCAGCCATGGAACTGACAGTTGACAGCCTATTCAAAACATTTTAAAAAATGAAAGCAGATTAAAAGTGAAAGCTTAATATTAAACTAAATATTGATCCATTACTTTTAAATAATCAACTGTTAAATTTTTGGTCACACATTTATCATGATACTCATTCCCTCACCACTCAATTGATTTCCAGGTTTAAAATAAGTCATAATAAACATCCAAAACGCAAGCCATTCATTCACACTTTTGCTCTGTCACACACACACAGCCTCATACATGTACATATATTATTTAGAGCAGATATATTTGTATCAGTCAGCAAAATCAGTAACAAGCAATATTTGTGGACATATTCCTTCAATCAGGCACAAGAAGATAGGGGAACAGAGCAAAAGAAAAACTGAAAAAAAATTGATTGCTGTTGTATCTTTTTATGGATAAAACAATGAAAACATCAGGAGATTAACAGTTCTTCATTCATTTAAGTAGGCTACATTAAATTGCATTACTACTTTATAAAAGTAAGACATTTATGAAATTCATGAAAGACAGATATATGGCGAGAATAAAACATCATTTTGTGTTTAAAGTAATTACTTTATTAATAAATATACATCCAAATGATGACATAAGTACAGTTCATGAACACTACTCCATTCCCATACAGACAATTGCACATGAGTAGCTGAGGTTCATGGATGTAAGAACAAACACAGTTATCTAATCAGACTTTTTACACCAGAAGACAGGATGATATTAATGATTTTTTTCTAATAAAATAACTTGTCCATGGAAAAGCAAATTGTGAAAGTGAAAATCTTAAAATAGCCTATTTAAATATAGATTTTTTAAAAAAATGTTATAATGTTATTATAATTTTCAAGATGAAATTGATTACATATTGCAGAACTTAAATTTATCTATTTGGGAGAGGAGACCAAAAGGAAGGGCTTGTTCTAATATTTTCATTATAATAATGAACTATATTTAATATATGCATAATAAAAAGCATTTGAATATAAGCAAGTCCAAAAGCTTTGATTGCAAGCAACTGTTTGTATTTAGTAAATTGCATGATGCTGCACTGTATGTACAGTGATATAAAGCAGAATGACAACTTAGGAAATAATTGTATAGTTCTTGTTCTGAAAGTTCTTGCCTTTCAAATTCTTTTAATGCCCTGACAGTAATCCTTCCTGCCTTGTCGATCATGGAATTTCCCATCCCATATACATTACTTTCCTGGGTTTGTTGTGAGACAAAAAGAAAATGTGTAACTTCCTAAAAATGGCCCAATGCAGAACAAAGATCCTGATAGTAACAGTTTACCTTAAAAAGTTATGAAACACAAGCGATCCTTGGTGTAGTAGACAAAGCTATATTTAGAAAGTACTACCTATACAATAATTTTGAACATATCCAGTGCAAGACTTAAAAAATAGTAGTAAAGTTATTTGGTTCTATAGTTTATGTAAAGTTAATTAGAAAGTAAACAGCAATTTTTTTCTGTCTTTTAAGTAGTATAGGTCCCTATTAATGCTTAATTATTTATTTATCAAAAGATACAACAAATATCTATATTTAACCAAAAGAAAGATAAAGCACAAGTTCAACATGTAGATGTTTTGAGCAGTGTGAATACACATTAACAATCCTAGCTTGTGTAGAGTACAATTAATTTAGAGAATATAAAATTATCATTTCCTTTACAAATCATGTATTAATACTATTGAAAGAAAGGACATTCTTCCTTTTCCTTCCCAGTAATATCAAAGCATAGGAATTAACATGCTGTTGCAGTGTTCATCATGACAAGAGATAGTGTACCAAAAAAGCACAATGTATTCAGATTATATACAGCAGTAGCAAAAATATTTGAATTTATCATTCAAACATCTCAAATCGTTGACTTGTTTTCTCCATACCATGGCCCTTATGAACTGCAGTAGAAGATAAAATCAATTGGAATCAAGAAATGTCCAACAGTGCTCTCCTGGCCTTGTTAACAAATCCAATGAATGTTTAACTGCCCTTTCTGCTTATTTTTAACTGTACTAGTCTTTTTAATGGATGTGTTTTCCATCAGATATAATTAATAGCTTTATAAATGAGCATAAATTGCTTATTTTCTCAGTATACATTTTCTCAGAATACATAATTCATTACACTACAGCAATAATGCATCTGCCTTACCTCCCAATACACTGTATGGCATCATTGAATAAACTCATTTGTGAGAAGTTAAAAAAAAGGTAGCATGAGAAAAACAGGAGGTAAGAAATATAGTTAATCAAAAATACACTGGTGGCATGCAATAAATTTGTACCTTGCCATAAGGGTGTGCCATTCTTGTAGATTTTACATTCAGCCACTCTCCAAGCAGCCTTTGGGGGAAAAAGTCTAACAAAACAGGCAGTACAATGTAAGTCCTGAGGGAGGATTAGCTCACATTAGCATTGTGCACCTCCGAAAATTAGTAAAAAACCTGACACTTCCAAAGTTTCTTGAGGAAACATATGAGCTTCATAGCTTCAGCAAAATAAGACAAAACAATTTAGTAGCAGTTTAGCTGCCATTAGTTTACATGACTAAAAAGCCTTCCAGTACTGTTGAGGTTCATGGTTGCCAGTGTGTACAAAGTCCCCTCAAAGCAATTCAACACACTATTATAAAATATGGGATAAAGTCCAGCGTATTATGAATTAGGCATCACTGGAACACCTGAAGGCTTGCTGCTTTTTTCCTGATGAAAAATGTATGAAATGACATCTATTTTTTAAGTTGTCATTACTAAAATCAGAGCTGTCATCAAAATGTCAGCAGGCCACAACACTGATCTTATCAAAAAAAAAAAAAATACTGTTAATTTTCATTTTTAATTAATGTGAAAGAGATCTGTTCCAAATTAAAGTTGCAAATATTTATAACCTCTCTCAAGTGAATCTGAAAATAAAAAATTTAAAAATTTAACTAAATGTAAACTTAGTTTCAGAATAGCTTTAGTTCAAAAGAAATATTTGAAATATATTCAATATTGAGTGTTTTCTGATCAATTACAATGCAACTTGTATAATACTGTACTTACAGTCTGTCTCTTTCTATTTTTCTCTCTCTCTCTCTCTCACACACACACATACATACATACTCACATACGTTCTTAAAAATAACAACACATACCCAGCTCAATGCAGAACATTTATTTTAGGTGCACAAAAATCAGAAATTGAATTTATCATTCTGCACCTCCATGCATAGATATATTCCTAAGGTCTGTTATATATCTGGGTGTCTATAAACACATCAAATCACAACTTGCTTGTGCATCATCTGTATCATTTCCAATTATGAACCATGAAATGTCTTCCTTTGGTAAATATATGCTCACTTAGCTCCAGAATGTATGAATAGCAAGTTTTATACTGACAAAATTACTTTAAAAATGGGAAGATCACCTATCTGAAAAGTACAATTTTCAATTACACCAAATAATTTAAATTCTTTTAAAAATGCTGTCAACTACGCAGATTCTGTAGTCATTTAGAACTTGTATGTTTCTTGACAGATTTTGAAAAATACAGGGCAAATCTACACCTTTGCTTATGCTATAGATCACTCAAATTAATTGGACTGATAAGGGAACAAAATCTCAGACATAATCTTCGTTATGCTCATTAAATGCTTATTTGATGGCACTTTTTAGAACTTATTTATAAAACATTTCAGATATTTAATTATTTATAATTTGGTGTGTGTAGTCTTAGGCTTTATAAACTGTAAGCCAGTGTGCAACAGTTAGCACTTCCAGGAGAGATACCATACTGTAATGGCAAAGTAGCACTTAGAATATATATCAGGTGCTGCATATGAACTATTTCTTTAACGAAGTATTTGAATTACTTGTAACTGATAGCACTTCAATGCAATGACTGCCTGGAATGATAACTTCTTAAAAATATAGTTTCGAAGTTTTGAAATATCTACAAGTTTTGAGGTCCGTGTTAACTTCCAGCAATTGTGGAAAAATTTCATTTCTACTCATTCCTATTTAAAGAAGACAGAAAAAAAGAAACACATACATTGCAAAATTTATAGAACTACTCTTATTTGTAAGACAGTCCTGAATGATTGGTTCCCATTAGTCTACTCTGATTTACTTTGATCAAGTTTTTATAGTGACCTTCAATAAACTAGGAGCTGGAAATTTGCTATTTGAACTAATAGCTCCTCAACTAAAATGACTGGACAATAATTTCTGTCACTCAGAATATTTGCAATTACTTTTTGAAAATACACAAGGGCATCACTGAAGATTCCACTTGTAAACAAAGAAACATTATATGGTTATGATATGTCATCTTTAAAAAAAATAAGAAAGGAAGTTGTGAAAAAGTTACAAAAGAAGTGAAAAAAACATGCCACAACTCAGATAATTTAAGAATGATTACTGAAGAAATGTTATCTACCTATATATATTATTCAGTGGGTTGCTTGATTTTGCTACTTGTTTCACCAGTAGCATGTACTCCTCTGTTATGCACCACAGAGTAAGGAAAAGCCGCACTGCTACAAGTATAACTTAGATTTGGAAGCCGTGATAGAGCCTTAATGCTACCTGGAGGTCTCCCTGGGCTGACTTTGTATCCTGCGGCTTTAGTTGTACCCAAGGGTCTACCTGGACTTGTCTTAAATCCGGCTGCTTTGGTGGTCCCCAGCGGTCTACCTGTGCTCGTTCTGTACCCCGCTGATTTTGTGGTCCCTGAAGGTCTTCCACGTTTTCCAGATCTGTTGAGATTTTTCTTTTTTTTTAGTTCATCTTTCGTCTCTATATTTCTGCTACTTGTTGTCTGCAAATGTGGTTCATTTAATGCATCTTGTCTCTGGCATGGTATTGGCTTGTGCCCAACTGTGTGGCTATACTTGGTTTGCTGCGTGGAATATAAATCAAACTGATCGGTGGGTGTCCCATTGTCATCATTAAGGCAAGAAGTTTTTCCAGTCCCACAGAAAGGGGAGTTACCACTTGCAACAGGATGCATCATTTTCTGCTAAAAAAAAATTGAAATAAAAGTTTAAAACCAAGATAACATTTTAAAAAATAGTTTTGCATTAAACTGTGTTTATTGCCTTATGAATGCTTTCCAAGGTTAAGGAACTTCATGTAGGACACAAAGCAGCCCAAACACTTTCTTTAAAACAAAAATCATTTCAAATCATTGCCAGTGTGTACTTGCAATTTGTATTTGTGCTCATTTCACATTTTTGCACTACATAAACACAACCTTATACATTAAAAATACTTTTAAATTCACAGCAAATTTTAAATTTCTAAATAAAAATAAGCTCTTTTTGGCGTTATAGAATGCAAATAGCTAGTCATAAACAAGCAATTCCTTCTTATGGACACAAAGAAAAAGTTATTACGTGATCCCTCTGAAATCATGGCAGGGGTTTGGTTCCTTTGTCAGTTAAAATTCTACTGTTTCCAGCATTAAAATCTGAAGACACATTTGGACGATGCCAGGTCAGAAGTACTATATAATTTTGATCTTTACTAACACTTTGGGGTCCTGATTTACACTTTCGGATAATCCTAGTCTGAAAATTGCAATTTTTTTTTCAATTCATGGGTGAGCAGGGATATTAATACTTCATATCAGCTAATTGTCAATCAAGTTTTTAAACAATCTGCAAGAGGAGTTTGGATTATATCAACATATGGAATGACAGTAATATTCAATTAAAATGTCTTATTTCACAATTTAATTCAGATAAATTAGCAACATCCAGTACTCTTGACACCACAGAGTGTTTTGGACAGTTCTAAATCTGCAGGATGTTTATGTACAATTGAAAAGTACTGTTAAAATGGGTATTAGCTATTTATGAGAATTTTGGAATAAAAGTAGGAATACCTCATTACAATAACAAATTATTTGCTAAAAAAAATAATTAAGATAACATTTAGCAATTTTCAGCAGCTGATTAGTCGGATGTTTTAGAACAGGGTTTCCCAAACTGTGAGGTATACCTCCCTTGGGGAGGTGCAGACAGAGTCCAGGGGAGGTGTGAAGATTTTTATTTTTTATGTCTTTATTAAAAATAAAGTTTCATTGTATTGTTTTTATTGTTCATTTGTGTTCATTTTGGTGTTTGGATTTTCAGGGGAGATGTGAACATTAAAATTACATTAAAGGGGAATGTGATGGCAAAAAGTTTAGGAACCCCTGTTTCAGAAACAAAGGAAGACTTGGATATTGACAAACACATTGCTTAACAGATTCCCAGGTTAAATGAGCTTCAAAGTAGAGCTGAAATCTTCCAGAGCACACCTAGATTGGTTCATTCACTGTATCAAGCCATAGCTTGCTTAATGATTTGTAGACCAAGCCACAATTAGCTGGATTCACATATAACTTTAATTAAGCCATACATGGTTATAAAATATAATAATTATATTTATACAAAATGCTAAACCAAAACCAAACAAACCACACTATTGCTGGGTTTAAACAGTATGGTTTAATGCAATCTGCAACCCCAGACTTGCATATAATGATGCCCCTCCACAGGCAGGTTTTGAACTAGTGGAAACTTCCATTAAAAGAACAAGGAGAAAGGTTATTTTTTTGCCACTTATTTCCTTCCCTGTTCCATTATCAGAAACCCCAGCTAAATCAAAAACGGCAATCACTGGATTTAAGTCTTAGTTTTTGCATTGTGCTGAAAAGAATAATTTAATTATTATAGAAAACACAATTATTATTTATCTTCTGAAGGCAAAAATCCTTTCCATTTCTATCTCTCTCACACATTATAGCAAAGTGTTTTTCAACCTTGGCAACTTTAAGATGTGTGGACTTCAACTCCCATAATTCCCCAGCCAACGTTCTGGGAGTTGAAGTCTACACATCTTAAAGTTGCCAAGGTTGAAAAACACTACTATAGCAGATTAATTAGGATAATATATTCTCAGAGTCTCATTATGCCTATTCTGTATAGATGATTTAATTCATCCTGACAGTATCTCTTATAGTATACTCTTATCTATATTTTGACTAAAGTTACTAATACAGTAGTTCATGCTACTTATTTGTTTGTTTGGTTCTATTGGTTCTCCTTGTTTACCGGAAAGTTAGGAGAGACCAATAGAAAAGCAGACATTAGCACAACTGGTCTTAATTCCCACCTAACTAATCATCTCTGATAAATGCATACTGCACTTAAATATAATATACACACTAATAATGGCTGCAAAGAAACATTCCTTGAGTCCACAAAGTGCCACCTAGAAAAGTTACTGTTTTCATTAATTGGTCTAGTGAATCAGGGATGACTCCATCTAGAGATTATTATCATCTGTCTGCTCTGCTACTTTAGGAAATTTGAGGAGAAAATAATCCAGAGTTGCAAATTAAGATGTGGTCAGGACAGTCAGACATAACTCCCACTGATTTGGATGGGGCTTACTCATATTTAATGGATATACGATAGCAGCCTTAGTAATTATCATATTATCAGAGTTCATGCAATATTAAACAGGATGCTATAATGCAAGTATTTATACCTGAGGTGGACAACCTCAACCCCTGAATTTTATTTTTTGCAGCTTTTTCCACTACAATTCTTCAGTCCAATAACCAAAAACTGATAGCATGATTTCCTGCCATATTAAGACAGGAAACACACAAAAACAATACTGTAATCCCTTAAACAGACTTAGCATAGGTAAAATGCCAAAGATAACCCCAACTCATTTCCAAAATGGAAGATTCCAAACCTATCCATGTAAATTTAGCCCTACCTATTTCACATCCTCCCTTTGCCAACTCCAGTCCTCTAACCTCACTCCCTCAAACCTAAAGCAATCCATGGTAAGCAAAAGACTAGCCATTCCTGACTTATACAAACTACAGATGGTAAACATTTTGATAAGCATTCCCTATTATTTAGATAGGAAAGAAAAGCTCTTCTAAAATTATGCCTGATACAGGCATTGTATTGTATTGTATTTACTCAAAAGGAAAGCAACCTTTAAATTAAGACATCCACACAAAAGAGGAACATACACATACACACAAATCATCAGTCTCTATTATCATGTTCTCAGAAAAATTACAATCAAATCCCATTTTAAAGTAAAATATTTGGAGGAAAAAAATGTATCTTCCTTTCTAGTAAATACAATACATCTGCATTATCTAAAAACTCAGGACTGAATCAAGATGGAATAGGGTTTTTTTTTCTTTTTTTGGAAGGTACTGCGATCCAGTAAAAACTTCCTGTTGAAAGAAGAGAGTTGAAGGCAATATTCACTACTTTAATCCTCTCTTCTCCTGCAACTTATTACATTACCTCTTATGCTGCTCTAAAGAGACTGTTTTCCAGAACAGCTCTTCAGAAAATACAGTACAAGGGAAAAAATGAAGCATAAAGACCATCTGCCTACTTTCTGCCCTGCAGAGGCAGAACTTCACTAAATCATAACCTGGATCCAAAACAATGAGAATACATTTTTGCTTCAGAACTTTTTAAACCTGCATTATAATCTGCCCTTTGTACAGGTTAGCAATGTTATTTCTAAAAAAATTATTTCCTAAACAAAGAGGATACGGTATTCCCACCTTGTGCTAGAATATTCCTATGCTGACCTTTCTAAATTTGCAGGTTTGTGGCAAAGGACAAAACACTATGGCAGTACAGTAGAACTCTGGATTAGTATTAGGAAGCTCACTAAAGAGCTCTGGACCAATTACTATCTCTCAATCATATCTACCTCATAGGATATGATTATGCAGCTAGAATAAGAGGAGGAAATACTAATTATACTGCTTTGAACTCCTGTAAGAAAAGTGAATTACAAATAAAACTAATAATTTTGTACATGTTTGTACATATATGTTTCTATTAAATCACAAGAAGCCAAGCTTGACTCAAAGGAAAAGGAGCATATATACATTTATACCTTCTCTTTCTCCCATAAAGTAATAAGGTGAAGAATATAAGGTTCTTAAATATCTCCCATCTAGCCACTAATTAGATCTAGATGTGTTTAGCTGTATCCTGAGCCCTCAGACAATGTCCTAGGACTTAGACCTAGTAAGCAAGTCTCCAGAAGGAGGCTGGAATATTTGCACAAAAAATCCATGAATGGAGATCACTTCTTCTCAACAGCTATCTTGGGGCCTAGTCAATGTTTTTTCCCTAAAAAAAGTTGATCTATCTATCTACGTTTCTGATTTTTATCATTATACAACACCAGCACAAGAGCAAATGTGTTGGAGATATAATAGACCTGATGCACACTGTTAGATATATTTTGCAGATTCTATTGTCTCTTTAATTCTACAGTGAATCTAGAAAAAGAAAAAACAGAGAATTTTCAAGGAAGCCAAAGGCTGCACTGAAATTTTGAATGTTCAGAAAAAAAAAATCTGCAGGTGTATCTTGAACAGAAATAAGCAGGAGTTCACTCTTCTTTCCATAGTACAAAGCAATACACAGCCCCCCAATTTTTAAAAAACACAACAGATACAAATTCAATGGAAAAATAACATTACTATTCTGTACATATGGGACCTATTTCTGTAATGTGCCCAGGGCTGTAGACTAAATATTTAAAAACAAAGACTCAGACCACATGTATAATCAAAAGGATTCCACATACAGTAAGAGCATAACCTAGATAGGAGCCAAAATGAGAGATATGTAAATAACAGACTTTAATAAACATGTGCTATATTTATTAAAACCCTTACGTAATTAGCAAAGTTAATATTCATAACATTATTTGTGCACTTATAGAAATATATAAAATATAAATAAGGAGAGAAAAAACATGCAGCCATTTATTGTAGGCAAATAAAATAAGACATTTAAGAAAATGAAATAAATTCCAGAAAGATATTGTGTATGAGAGGTGCAAGATCTGCAGCTCCCATGGCTGCTGGATGCTCAAAGCAGTAAGTAACACAAAGAACTACAGCAGTTTACCCCTCCTCTTCACTCACCACTGCCCCCCATAGCACTGGAGTGTCAGTGACCTTCCTAAGATATTTACAGGGAAGATTGCATTGGGGTATGTGCATCGAGCATGTGCTACAGAGAGCGTTTTATTATGAGCTCGAGGGAAGAATAAATCAGGAAACGGGGGCACAGGACTTAATGAGTTTTGCTACTATTCCACCATCTCAAAACCATTAGGACTTGCCATCTGCTTATTCAAGGCAGTTTAACTAATAAGTAAGTTACCTTTTTGACCTGTTCTCTCACCCTTCGCCTTTTTCTAATTCTAACACAATAGTTAAAGGAGGAGTGGAGCTCTCTGTTACATACTCTACTTATCAAACGAGGGAGCGATCCCGACAATTTCTCTAAACGCAGGATTCGGAATAATGGCAACAGTTATTCAAAGTCAACTCTTCCGAAGTACTAAAAATGGTAGTTTATCTCGTGAAGCTCTCTTCTCTCGAAGGAACAAACGCCACCAAGCGAAGGGCGGCAAGTCGCTCCGCGGCCCTGGGCGCGGGCCCGGGAGAAAGAGGGGTCGCGGAACCGCCTCCCGCTCCGATACAACGGGGCGCAAACAAGAGGCTCGAAAGCCATTCCAGACGGCGGATGTCATGGTTCCTCCCTGGAGCTGGAGAGGAAGATGGGAAGAAGGGCTCACGCTTCTGCCCCAGAGGAGCGAAGGGGCTCGCGACGTCCTCCCCCTCAGCCCCACCGACAAATGGGGGGGCTCGTCCTGGTCTCGAGAACTACGCCCGCAGGCAGGCAGCGAGAGGCAGGCGCTGCTCGCTCGGCCCTTTCCCTTCTTTCTCTCGCACGGAGCCAACTGGGCGAGGCTCCATCTTGCTCGCCTATGCAAAGGAGCGGGCGAGGAGGCGACGCCAGGCCCGCGGGCGGCTCCTACCTGTGGGATCCGGAGGGGGGTGACGGTGGGGGGGTCGCCTGGTCCAGGAGGCGCGAGCTCAACGAGGGTCGGAGCCGGTCCTTGCGGGGCGCTGCGGCCCCTCCTCTGCTCCCCCCTCGT